CTTTTTCTTTTCATAGTCTTACTAAAACCCTACCTTTTTCTTTTCCTAGATTATCATCAAATATATTTTCAATTCTTTCCCTCTTGTCTTTTCCTAGTTTATTAAACCATTCCTTAACTATCTCGCAATCTTCCACATAATGTGATATATATATCATCCTTTCCTTTCTCACAGAAAATACACTTTCTCTTTTCTTCTTCTAGCCTTTTATTCTTCTTTAATATTTATTGTTTTCTTCCATATTCCCACATTTTACTCTTATTAATGCTCTTACTCGATCTCCTTCCTCACCCTCTTCCTGCCTCTTTTTTCGCAGATAACATGGACCATCTTCCTCTTTATGCAATTCCTTATATCTACTGTTGTATCTTGCCTCCCTTATTTGACTTTCCTGTATCTGTTTTTGTATATCTTTTTCTCTTTCTATTATCATCCTCTCAAAATCTAAATCTATATTCGAGTCTAGTAAATTTTCGAAAGCTTCTATTCCCCACCCATTTCTATTCAGATACCTTTCTTTCTCTTTGGTATATTGATCCTTTTTTCCTTGCCCTTTTTTCTCTTTGTTACACAGCTTGACTAAATTATTTCCACTAGATTCCCTTACCTTAATGTCGTATCTCAGTGCTCTAGTTCCCCATCTAATTTTCATCTTTTCCTTTCCTATCTCTCTCAGTATAACATATCTTGGGGTGCAAAAGTCTAATCTGAATACCCATCTTATGTAGTCCATCATAATTTTCTCTAATTCTTTCTTCTCCTCCCACCCCCATATTTCTACTCCATAGGACATGACGCTTTGCACTAGATATCTGAGGAGTATCCACCTTCTCTTTAAGTCATTCTTGCAGATTCTCTCTCCCAGTCCCCATACCTTATTCACTGCTATCCTCCCTTTTCTACAGAGTTCCTTAATGTGATCCTTGTAATCGCCCCTCCTATTCAACATAAAACCTAAATACTTAAAACACCTAACCTTTTCTATATTCTTCTTTTCCCATCTAACTTGATCGCTATCTTTGCCCCCTCTGCTATTGAACACAATTACCTTAGATTTATCCAACAGAGTATATGTTCTTCAGCTTCGTTATCAGTCCCTCACTTATTCCTTTCTTTTCCAAGATTCTTCACAACACCTTCTTATCTACATTGTCGAAGGCTACTCTCAAATCGATGAACAGTGCGTATACTTTCTCTCTCTCTGTCTCATTGGCTTTTTCCCTCTGGACCAAATGGTTCACCACATATATATTGTCTAGAGTCGATCTTCCTTTTCTAAATCCTGCCTGATTTTCCGGGATCATTTCCTTCTCTTCTACTTCTTGCTCTAATCTACTTCTTATCAATTCTGCGTGCACTTTATATGCAGTGCACAGCAGTGATATCCCTCTATAATTTGCCGCGACATTGTGATCACCTCTCTTGTATATGGGGACTAGTATACTTTTTCTCCATTCTTCCGGTATGTTTCCTTTGCACCAAGCCTTCCTTATTACCTCAGTCAACCCCTTCTTTACCGTTTCTCCCTCTAGTCTCCAGGCCTCCATTGGAATGTCATCTATTCCCGCTGCCTTTTTCATTTTCATTTTCTTTGCAACCTTTCTTATTTCTTCTTCCGATGGGTCGTCCACTTGCCTCTTCTCTTTTCTTAGTTCGTCCTCTTTTTNCCATTCCTCGTTCCCCTTGTCCTCTTCTTCCTCACGCGTCTCCTGCCCTTCTAGCAGATTCACAAAGTGCTTTCTCCATTCTTCCACCTCTATATTTGGCTCTCTCGTTTCTCTTTTCTTTCTCCTTTTGTTTATAAATCTCCATACCTCTGCTTCCGTCCTAATCATTTTCAGTGTTTTCTCTTCTTCTTCTCTTTTCTCTTTTCTTTTCTTTTCCATATATCTTCTCCATTCCTTATTCTGTTCTAAGTATTCTTTCCTCGTTATGTTATCACTTTTCCATTTCTTATAGCTTCTCTTGGTATCCCTTTTCATCTTTGTGCAACTTCTGTCCCACCATTCCTTGAATCCTATTCTTTTTGTTTTGATCCTAATATCCTTTTTTATCATTGCCTTATCTACTAGCTCTTTTAGTTTCTTCCATGTAAAATCTAGACTCATCTCTTCCTGCTCTTCCGTCCAGCCTATTTCTTCCGTATTTGCAATAAAACTTTTTATTGCCTCGATGTCCCAGCAGATAACTTTCTTTTCCTTCTGTGCCTCCTCCTCTCCTGTTCTTCCTCTATATCTTCTATCTTCCTCTTGCTCCATGCTTATCCTCACGCGGATTGGCATATGGTTCGAGTCCACTCTTTCTTTTACCTTAAAATCCACTATCTTG